GAAGTGGACCGTGGAGGAGGCACTGAAGATGCTCCTTGGGGGGACGGAATGCTGAAGTCAGACAATTTCCTTTCCAAGGGGCAGGGTATCTCTCCTAATCCAATCCAGACCATGCCTAAAGCTTAAAGAGGATTTTAACTTTCAAGCAGAGAATGATGTGTTTGAGAAGAAGATATGGACCAGTACTGCAATTTTTAAAAAATAAACGTCAGTTAGATTCATGAAGTCTGGATTTTACAAAGAACAGATAACATGATTTACTCTTCCTTTGAGCTGCCCAACAGGTACAGATAACTGTTAAATACCTTGTGATAGATACCCACTTCATCTTTTACGTGTGTGATATGTATAGGTAGATATTCAACCATGACTGTTTACTTGCCGGGAAACTAGAGTAATTGACCAACTCTCTTGCTTCCTTAGGTAGTATAATAAATCTGATAGAGATTATGAAGGGCAGTGCTATTTAAACAACGTAATGCTAGTGTTAGTAAAGTGTCATGGGAGCAAAGAGAACTCAGAAACAATTCGGGGATAATGCGTATCTTTGCAATGAAAATGTGTGCGCACGCGCACACACGCACACACAAAAACCTTCTCAGGTTCCAAAATAATCTGCAATCAAAAACTCTATAGTTACTGTTTCATTTTTGTTTAAATTTACAGGAAGGGATCATTAAGCAATAGACCACCATATTCTCCTGCTGAGGCAGTGTGAATTGATAAATTATGAATCAAAGAGAGTGAAATGACAGAGACAGATAGATTCCATTATGGCAGGTTTTCTCAGGGCTGCCAACAGGGGGTACTGGGGGGGACAGCATAATGCTATATTTAGGGAATGCATTAAAAAAGTAAAATGCAGTTCTGATTGCAGCCACTAGTGGTGCAAGTAAGGCAGAGTGCCATAAAAAAACACTTTGCTGACTGGGCCTTTTAGCAAAGTTTACTAGGAGGATGAAGGAAACCATATGCTGATCAAATCCTATTAAGTCCATCAGCCAGGCCAGCATTGGAGCAAGGCAAGACCAGCCAGGACAGCTACAGTCAATGCCAGGATGCAGTCTCCTAACAAGGTCTATGGTTTCCTTTTACCTTTAGTTTCACCCAGCTCCTGCACAGTGAGATCTTAGGGTGTGGTAACAAAAGAAAAAGAAAAACCTTTTGTTGTCTTTTTCTACATTTCTCTTATTTTTCTACATTTCTCGAATGTTTCTTTAACTTTTCTCCTCTTTCATTTTGCTTACTTCCTTTCATGATCTGCCATTCATCTATCCCCACCTCTTATTTTTCTCCCTCCCTCTCTTATTTTTCAGTCTCAAGTCTTCCTCATCCATCCTGGTGGGCAACTTATAACATATTTGATAGCAGTATAGAAGCAAACCTTTGTTAATATTATTAACAGAAAGGGGGAGTTAATATTTCCCCATAATCTATCAAAGTAATAAAAGGATGATTCCCCTCATTCACCATTAAAATGCATGATGATAAAATGACCAGCCTTAGTGGTAATAAATGACAAATGAAGTTGGAACGTTTGTATCTATTTATTTACTTTATTTGTATCCTGCCTTTCTCTCCAAGGGGGTTTTCTTCTGCAAACCCTGGATTTTCTCTTGATTTCTTGCTCTGAATGTTGACACAGTTTGACTTTTTCATTATAACAGTTTGCCAATCTCTGGTCTAAGAGCAGTTCTTACTCTAGATATGCTGTAGATGACTTGGCATATTAAAACAGATATTCAAATGCTGTAGATTGGCAAGGCATATTTACTGTAAGTAGAAAGCTGGCTAATAAATGTCTTCAATAAATAATAAACACAAAATCCACCAATATCTAAAACCAGGAAGTACAGTACGTCTAGCCCATCCTCCCCCACCATTTCTCTTAGTGGCTCACATTCCGTTCTACTTTCTTAAACAAACTGTTCCTGCCTTAACTGCAGCACAGAAATAGATTTTCCACACTTCTCTTTTCAACACATCCCTTCTTTCCACATACAAGCTCAGGCTATTTTATCACATTACAGGCCAGTAACTTTGTAAGTCAATATAACTGCACATAGGTCAAGGCAGACCCTGTTTATTTACTCTAATGCATACCTTAGCACCATGACACATTGTTAAGGTACATAAATAAATGTGAAAGATTAAACATACACCCGCCCTGGCCTATATGAATCTCTGCCTTTGGCATGTTCTAATCTCTAAGCCACTAACTGGCAGGTCATTGATACCACCAGAAGGTCAGTGGGTTAAAAGCCACACACGTTTCCTCGTTGACCCAGAAGTTTTGTAACGGCCTTGAAGATAATTCAATAATATGCAATTTAAACTTGATAAAACACATTAGTTAAGAGGGAGTAGATTTCATCTTAATGTTTCAGTCTCTGTTCTTCTTTTTCCAAAAGGCTGCATCCACCCAGGTCTATTTTATATGTTAACACTGGGATATACTCGCCCTTTCCCAGGGTTCTTTCATGTATCACTGCAGATGTGACTGTAGGCTTAGAAATGTATGGGCAGAGCCTATGGTTTTTCTGAAATATTAGTTTCTACCCTTGTTGTTTTGGGCTGGACACAGTGGTTTACGTGTTGGACCATGTTTTGGGAGACCCAGGCTTGATTCTCTACTCTGACATGGAATTCCACTGGGTGACCTTGGATTGGTCACTCTCCCTCAGCCTAACCTACCGATAGTTGTTTCATTGCAAAACCTTAATGGAAGAGGAGAGAATGATGTTATAAGCTGCTTTGGGTCTTCATTGGGGAGAAAAGCAGGGTATAAATATCTAAATAAATAATTTCAAATATTACTAGGAAGACACCATGGTGTAGCAGCCTCAGCACTGCTGTGAAGAAGCATAAAAGGTCTCCAGTTGCATTCAAGAAAACTCAATTAACCACATGATGGGCCGTAATTACACTAGATAAACAGGGAATCACATGATGGCTCCCTATGCAATTCTGTTCTCATCTCCTAAGTGCAATAAGTGAAAAGGAAGATCCCAAAGGATGAAATGATTATTGCATGAGCAGCTTATTAAAAGAGTCTTTGAATACGTGAAACAATCATTTCAAGATACTGGTCTGCTGCTTGTAAAACATGAAGGTCTTCTTGGGCCTTTTTGAGGACAACTTGAAAAAAATGTCTGAGAACACAAAGTACTTTCAGAGAACACAAAAAGGAATAAAAAGAAGCCTTGCTGCTAGTGTGTCATTGGGGTTCTGACATACAACAATATTTCATGCCATTCTTCCATTTCTTCCTTCCTTATGCTGTCCCTTGACTTTGAATGGAAAATTCCTTCCTTAAGATTATCCGTACAATGATGTGCCCTGCAACACTGCACAGTGGTTCAAGAACCAAGACTTCTAACTGGGCCTTATATCAGTCCTTCTAGTAGCAATCTTAATATGGCCCCCAGACTGACCAGTGGGCATTGGAAACACAGGCATTCACAGATAACATAGAAGTTTCTACTCCCTACTCCCAATCCCTGTGTTCCTGCCAAATGAACACAGATGAAAGGACATTCATTCCACATATTTCACCCCTGTTCTAAGTTCCCAGGAAGATCTGATAAATTCTATACATATCTCCTTCTTGGCAACCGATCTAATGAGACCACCTCTAAAGCGGCCAAATTCTCTGCTGACGCTTTGGTCATAAGAAAGCAGATATTCCAAATCTTTTAATAACTTTTTATCTATAATCAGTTATACCTATAAGGTAATGAATTGTAATCCTTGTATATTAATTTTATATTTGTATGTAAACTATACTGGTAAACTGCTTGGCTGATCTTCAATTGTAATCAATGTTGATGATGTTCACGATGATGATGAAGTTGCTACATACTCTGGCACTCTGTACGTGTGCAGGAAAAAAACAACAAGTACAGCAATAGTCCCTCAAGCCAAAGTCTGCACATATGCAAAGGAACAAAAATTTGGAAACAAATAAAAGCCCTGGCAGGCACAAAAGAAGTTGGTGGCTTTGGCTCAACAAGAAAACAGAAGAGGAGAGGACACTGAACCCAGCAGGGTTTCAAATTCTCCTTATGGGATTCTCTCTAACTTTGAATTAATTACCTGATCTTAGTCCCAATCTGGAATCAATGTGCTAGGGATTCTCTTCTGCTATATAATTTTTTTCATTTTCTAGTTCCTAACGGAGCGTTGTGCACGTGCGTCTGGCTTAAACTTTCAAATTCATGGGGATATTTGCCATCTGTGCAACTGATATACATGTCTGCATTGATAAACATTGCAAAAAAAAAAGCAATCCCGATAAACAGTTATATCAAGATTCTTTTGTATTTTACCATTACTGACTCTACAGTAAGGCAAGATACAATACTGGTAGTCTCTGCTGCCACCACTGATTCACTGAGTCTGCCTTTGCCTCACTCACCTCCCCCCCCATCCAGGAGGTGGAGCACCTAATGTTTCTTCCATCCTGGCTGCTCCCCTTATGAGAGTTTGGGAAATCCTACTGAGCACACAAGTTTTGCTGTGTTTGGGAACAAGGAGGGAAGGAGTATTATCTACTCCAAGTGGAGACAGAGACAGCGAGAGGTAGTAGGGCCAGCAGTAGTGGCAGTCTCAGGCAGCACCCCTTTTTGAGCTGCCACTGTACTAGTGCATAGGAGTCTATTAACACATCAGTAAAACAATGGGGGGAAATTCTGGTGCCGTTTCTGGTGTTGCCACTGAATTTGGTTGGAAGGAGAAGACAGAAATGAATAGGAAACCACAAGGAACTGTACATAATCCAATTCTAATATTAATCTGAGCAAGTCACCCAATTACAAAGGAGTGGAAAGAAACTCTGGAACAGCAGAACAAAACAATGGGCAAATCTTCTCATGCCATTCCAATTCATAGATATTTCCATGTTCAGCACTCCAAATCTCCTTTAAGGAAAATGGTGACAAAAAGAACACTGCTGTGATGAACATGGCAAACATTTAATAACCAAGAAATGTAAGCATCACCTGTTTTTCTCATGAATTTTCAAGATTTCATGGGTCTGTTGGAGCAGTTGTTTCTCCAGCTTGTAAGTGGATAATGAATTTTCCAGCAGCTGAATTTCCAATCGGGATGTTTGATTTAGTACCTTAAGGATCAAAAGGGAAAAAAAAGATGTTAGAAGGTGCAATATATTAGTATAATAGTTAATACTACTAGTAACAGTACCATCGTGCTTACTTTAGACCTGTGTAATAATTCATCTCAGAAATATAGTTTAGATAGCAGCACCGAAATGAGTGTAGGACTGGCATTCTGGCAATTTTATTTCATTTAGAAAAGGGAAAAGACAGGATTTACATTTGTTTTTGCAGACAACATGCTTAGCCAAGAAGTTTGATAGAGTACTTAGACAAAATTTCAATGCAAGCTGCCCTGTTTCAGTCTGTGAAGAGAATTTCTACTGAATTCCTGTTTTCATCATATCTGTTCTGCTCTATTGGTTCTGTATCATTCTCATCACCCCAGATAATGCATAATTCCACCGAAGTAAGTATTAAGTTCTTCTGTTTGGTTGCTTGCTTCCCATTTTTTTGAGACTCACTATTGGGTCCAAACTGGTGTTTCTGCAGGTGAAAGGATTTCCACCCATTAAGTACAACTTGCCCAGGCTAGCCTGATCTCGTCAGATCTCAGAAGCTAAGCAGGGATGGCCCTAGCTAGTATTTGGATGGAAGACTTCCCAGGAATACCAGGGTTGTGACATGGAGACAGGCACTGGCAAACCACCTCTGAACATCTCTTGCCTTGAAAACCCTACGAGGTCCCCCTAAGTCAGCTGTGAGTTAATGGTACTCCAACCACCAAGTACAACTTTCCTTTGCCTGGGGAGACTCTGCCATCTAGGCTGAGCTTTTCCACCTGCTCAGGCCCACCTCTTGATGGCTAATATCTTTCAAAGAAACCACACCACAGAGGTGCCGCCTTTTGTCTGGGCAGACTTTGTTAGTTAGCCATTAATTAACTGATGTATACTAATAGGATGTTTCATATTTGTTAGTTGCCTTGGGTGTTCTTTTGAACAGAAAGGTGGGCAATTAAATAAATAAATATTTCTCACCCCCTCACAGCAGCCTGAAATGACCCCCCCAATCCTGTTCCTTGGGGTCCCCTTTCCCCCAAAACTAGGATTAGGGGGCATTTGTAGCTGCCCCCAGAAGGAGAAGATGAGAAAATTGCCTTTCTTATGCCCTCAGAAAGAATAGTTTGGATCTCAGCCTATGGCCTGACATCCTCAACACATGACACAGGCTGAAATACCAGTGGCAGACAGGGCATAGCTAAGATCTCATCCCCTTACAATCATTTGTACAACATTGTTAATTATGCACAAACTCCCCTTGGCTCATTTCAATGTTCATTTTTCCATGCTTTCTTAGAGCAGCCATGGAAAAACCCCAGTCTTTCTGAGAAACTCATCGATACCGGGTACGTTGGTGGAAACTGTTATTAAGGAAAGAATTAGTAGGCATATTGATGAACAAAAATTATTGAGGAAGACTCAGCATGGGTTCTGTAAGGGAAGATCTTGTCTCACTAACCTGCTAGTGTTTTTTGAAGGAGTGAACTAACATGTGAACAAGGGGGACCCAATAGATATTGTTTACCTTGACTTCCAGAAAGCTTTTGATAAAGTTCCTCATCAAAGGCTCCTAAGTAAGCTCTATAGTCATGGGATAAAAGGATAAGTCCTCTTGTGGGTCAAAACCTGGCTAATTAATAGGAGACAGAGAGTGAGTATAAATGGGCCATTTTCTCAGTGGAAGGTGGTAAGCAGTGGGGTACCACAGGGAACAGTACTGGGTCCAATGCTTTTTAACTTGTTTATTAATGATTTGGAGTTGGGAGTAAACAGTGAAGTGGCTAAATTTGCAGATGACATGAAGTTGTTCAGGGTGGTGAGAAGCAGGGAGGATTGTGAGGCACTCCAAAGGGATCTGTCGAGGATGGGTGAGTGGGGTCAATGTGGCAAATGGGAATCCATGTGGCCAAGTGCAAACTGATGCACATTGGAGCCAAAAATCCTAACTATAAATACACAGTGATGGCAGAGACTGACCAAGAGAGATATCTTGGAGTTGTAGTAGATAACTCAATGAAAATGTCAAGACAGTATGCAATTGCAATAAAAAAGGCCAACACTATGCTGGGGATTATTAGGAAGGGTATTGAAAACAAATCAGCCAGTATCATAACGTCCCTGTATAAATCAATGGTGCAACCTCATTTGGAGTACTGTGTACAGTTCTGGCCACCACTCCTCAAAAAGGATATTATAGCATTGGGAAAAGTGCAGAAAAGGGCAACTAGAATGATAAAAGAGTTGGAACACTTTCCCTATGAAGAAAGGTTAAAGCGCTTGGGGCTCTTTAGCTTGGAGAAACGACGGCTGAGGGGTGACATGATCGAAGTTTATAAGATTATGCATGGGATAGAGCAGGTTGAGAAAGAAGTACTTTTCTCCCTTTCTCACAATACAAGAACTCGTGGGCACTCAATGAAATTGCTGATCAGTCGGGTTAGAACAGATAAAAGGAAGTACTTCTTCACCCAAAGAGTGATTAACACATGGAATTCACTGCCACAGGAGGTGGCTGTGACTACAAGCATGGACAGCTTCAAGAGGGAATTGGATAAGCATATGGAGCAGAGGTCCATCAGTGGCTATTAGCCACAAGGTATAGATAGGAACTCTCAGTCTGGGGCAAGTGATGCACTGTATTCTTGGTGCTTGGGGGGGGGCAACAGTGAGAGGGCTTCTAGTGTCCTGGCCCCACTGGTGGACCTCCTGATGGCACCTGGTATTTTTGGCTACTGTATGACAGTGTTGGACTAGATGGGCCCTTGGCCTGATCCAACATTGGCTTCTCTTATGTTCTTATGTTCTTAAATGTTGATTTTACAGAAAATAAAGTATTTAATAGGGTCAATATGATGTGTGTATAACTTAGATATATAAAGTAAAGAAGGTTCTCAGATAAAGTCAATAACCCCTGAGGGGAGATTTGATTCCCCTATCTCTGGACAGATTACCTCAGCAGGTTCAAGGCTGCTCTTTTCTCTCACAGAGCACCTTACCACAGAACCTACAAAAATCAGTTAGGAATAATGGGCCCTTAACAGGATGCTTATCTGTACAACTAAAAAGCTTTCTTCCCTAAGTCAACCCCTAAACCCTAACTAAAAAGCAAAAAAAAAAAAAAAAAATAGCCTGGCTAAGCTGACACTCCTTTGCAGTGCTAAGGCTTCTTCGGTTTTCTTAAACTGAGGCTGGCTCATCCCCTCCCATCCAGTGGAGGTCCATGGGCTCTGACTGGCTGGAAATCACTTGGATTTGCATGAGGCCTAAATCACAAGGATTGGTTCAGAGTCTTGGTGGAGATGTGGGACTTTGAAGGATGATTGTCTACAGCTCTCATTGCTAGTTCCCAATTCCAAACAAACATACCCTTGCAAGGGGGTGGAGGAACCCATAGAGAGAAGACTCACAAAGATCAAAAAAGCCTTCCCTCACTGGTAGGGTTGCCAAGTGTAAATTCCTCCGGAGCGGGGGACTCCCGTCCAGCGTCTGAAGTGCGCATAGAGTTTTCCCTCGGATGACCATGGCCCCACCCCCAGCATGCCCCACATGGTTGTGTCTCTTCCGGGTGACGTGCATGTCGGGGTGGGGTTCCCCCTGGGGCCCGATCCACCGGCGGTGGGGAACGGGCCTCTGGGGCGGGGACTTGGCAAGCCTACTCACTGGGCCAGATGCTCTGGAATTTTCATTTCTTCCCAGGGTGTGTGTGATTTGTAATGTTGTGTTTCTGATTATTCAAATATATTGGGAGGCACAAATCCCTTGAACCCCAACATGAAACAGGGATTTGACTCAATGAAAGACTGCAAAGGCTCTTCCTTCAACACTGGAAAGGCTCTTTCCACAGCTCCATATCATTGGCTGCTACTGAAAGGAGCTAAGAAATAACTGGGGTGTGAGACTAAACAAGCCAAGGAGAAGATGAGTCAATATACAGTTGCAGCTTTGGGTAGGAGCTCCATGTTGAACATAATGAATACTTCCACCCTGAGATTTTGTCAGTATCCATCCACTGTATCCTTCCGCTGTACTTGCGCATGAACACTTATACCATCAATAAAAATGTCTTGGTCTTAAAGGTGCCACTGGACTCAAACTTTGTTCTGCTGCTTCAAACCAACATGGCTACCCCACTTGAATCTAAACTAACAATGTAATCCTAAAAAGAGTCACACCTTTCTAAGTTTATTAATGTAAGCGGGCTTAAAAATGTATAATTCTGTTTAGGATCCCACTGTAAGGGCTCATTCTATTATATTTATTTATTTAGATATTTTTACCCAGGTTTTCTCCCCAGTGACCAACAGCAGCTTACAAAAATCCAAAAAAACCCATCTACTACATACACTACCCCAAGAGTTTAATAGGCTACACCCTGGCCTGGGCTGAATTCGCTGGGTGGGGTCTATCAAGGCCACAGGTATCAGCCATAAGCCAAGAGCCCATTGGCTCTTGCCAAAAGGTTCGTGCCCCTGGCCATGCTGAGGCTTAAATACCTGCAACAGGAAGGGAAACAGAAGTTCAGTGCAGAACTTGTTCAGCTGCCAGTTGTAAGATCAAGCTGCAAGGTGTTTGTGTGTGAGCAGCAGCCATGCAGCTTTAGTAATATAAGAATAGATTCTTTTTTATTGGGGATGATGTGTGAGTTGGCCTTGGCATGTTTATTTTTAATACAATAAAATAACATAATATAGTCTCTATTCTCTGCTTTGACACAAGTGCAAATACGTAAGGGTATTTTGCTTCCAAAGCTTCCTGCACTTATTTTCCATCACCTACAAACTAAGGTGGTGGCATAGCAAACATTTATTGGCCCTTCTCTGGAAAACTAAGAAGCTGAGAGTTTTAATAAGGCTATATTGTCAGCACCATATGTATATTATCTTTAGCTAGAGTCAATTAAGTGCTCTTTCTTGTGTAATTGATCTTGTTATTCTATATGCTGATATAGGGTTAAGTAATCATTTGGGAAAGGATACTGTAAACTTGGTTTAAGGCTTGGTTAAAAAAAGATCCATCTCAAACACCCAGCTGGGTACAACTAATTGGCCAATAAAACGATTGCACACATGAATATATTTGTTTACGACTAGATGCACAGCAACTGTTAGTTACCATATGCTACAAAAAGGAGTAAAAATTCCTAACGGAATACATAGGAAAATTATCAAACAACAACACCAGATCTCAGGAGATGGAGAACTCTCAGTGATTTAGGACCAACTGTTGTGTGTGTGTGATCAAGTGTGATCCACTGAAGAAGGAAATAGCAATCCATTCTAGTATCTTTGCCAAAAAAATACAACCCCATGGACAGTAACAAAAGGCTAAAAGATATGACGCTGGAAGATGAGCCCCTCAGGTCAGAAGGTGTCCAATATGCTATTGGGGAAGAGCAGAGGGCAAGTACAAGTAACCCCAGAAAGAGTGAAGTGGCTGTGCCAAAGCCGAAAGGATGCTCAGCTGTAGATATGTCTGATGGTGAAAGGAAAGTCCGATGCTGCAAAGAACAATACTGCATAGGAACCTGGAATGTATGATCTATGAATCAAGGTAAGCTTGACGTGGTAAAAAATGAGATGGCAAGACTGAACATCGACATCTTGGGAATCAGTGAACTAAAGTGGACAGGAATGGGTGAATTTAACTCAGAAGACCATTATATCTACTACTGTGGCCAAGAATCCCATAGAAAAAATGGTGTGGACTTCATAATCAACAAGAGAGTGTGAAAGGCAATAATGGGATACAATCTCAAAAACGACAGAATGATCTTGGTCTGAATCCAAGGCAAACCATTCAACATCACAGTAATTCAAGTCTATGCCCCAACCACTGATGCAGAAGAGGCTGAAGTGGACCGGTTCTATGAAGACCTACAACACCTCCTACAACTAACACCAAAAGAAGATGTCCTCCTCATCATAGGGGACTGGAATGCTAAAATAGGAAGTCAAAAGGTAACCGAAATAACAGACAAGTTTGGCCTTGGAAAACAAAATGGAGCAGGGCAAAAGCTAACAGAGTTTTGTCAAGAGAACACACTGGTCATAGCGAACACCCTTCTATCATGCTGAGGGGTGTTCTACCATGTCACAAACCTCACAAATGAAACTGGTTTATTTGTGATGTTTCATGGTTCATGAAGCTGGCATACCATGAACCATACCACATTTTCCCAGTTCATGCCCATCACTACTCAACACCAGTTCTCTAGGTGAAATCCATCTGGTTGTCCTCATGAATTACCCCTGCATTGACCCATGTGGATCTATAAGAACCAGATCATCACTGAGACAGTACCCTAAGACCACAATTGTACCTTTAAAGATTGACTACCTCTTTCAATAGTCTTTCAGTAGTCATGTATGGCTGCGAGAGTTGGACTATAAGGAAGGCCGAGCGCCGAAGAATAGATTCTTTTGAACTATGGTGCTGGAGAAGACTCTTGAGAGTCCCTTGGACTGCAAGAAGATCAAATCAGTCAATCCTAAAAGAAATCAACCCTGACTGTTCCCTGGAAGGCCAGATACTGAAGCTGAAGCTCAAATACTTTGGCCACCAAATGAGAAGGGAGCACTCACTGGAGAAGACCCTGATGCTGGGGAAGATTGAAGGTCAAAGAAGAAGGGGATGGCAAAGGATGAGATGGTTAGACAGTGTTATTGAGGCAACGAACATGAAATTAAGCAAACTCCAGAGCACAACGGAAGACAGGAGGGCCTGGCGTGATGTGGTCCATGGGGTCACGAAGAGTCAGACTCGACTGTGAGACTGAGCAACAACATCCAAAGTTACCATGAATTAAGACCATTAATTGATTCTGAGTAACTCTGCAAATGACTGCAGTTATCCTTGACAGAACTATGTTAATCTAGGCAGAAATTATTCAGCATTTAGCCACAAGGACAGGCAGCATATAAATATTTTAATAAATATTTTTTTCTTTGGCACCGAAAGCCATTATACTAGACCTACTTGCACCAGCTATCATTAAACATGAAGTGGGGCAGTGCATTGTTGGAAACTATTTTAAATGTGGATTAATATAAAAATGGAAATATGGAATCTCACACTCAGCAATGACATTAATGTAATAACTGATACCTTCTTGCTTAACTGGTCATCCTGTTCTAGACCAGCACCCATTTAGACTACAGATGGGGGCTGTCATGATTGCGCTAGATAGATAGATAGATAGATAGATAGATAGATAGATAGATAGATAGATAGATAGATAGACAGATAGACAGACAGACAGACAGACAGACAGACAGACAGACAGGCAGACAGGCAGACAGGCAGACAGGCAGACAGGCAGACGGACGGACAGACAGACGGACGGACAGATGGACAGAACAGGACAGGACAAGAGCAAAAAGGTGGTAGCCAAATCTTCTTCCTAGTATGCCAGTTTTCTGCGTGCAGGAATAGTCTGCCATAAAAGTATATGTTGCCTATCCAGAAACTTGCTTGAAGTAGCTTGCAAAGTATAAACAACAAAACAGTAAAATCAAACAAGCCATAAAAACAAGAGCTCATTCGGGGCATAAAACAATATCCAACAGCTTAAAATAGTATCCACAAATTATGCTAGAAGCAGGCTATTAAAAAAAAACACCACTAAAAGACAGACTTGTTCCATTAAAAACCTAGGCAAAGAGAAATGATCTGGCCTGGTACCTAAAGGATTGTAAAGCAGGCAGTCAGTGAGTCCCAGGGAGGAGGGTATTTCAAAGGTGAAGCTCCACCAGTGAAAAAAGACCTCTCTCTGTCACCTACCTCACCTCTGCATGTAGAGGCACAGAGAGGAAAGCCTGGAAAGAAGGTCTTACCAACAGATTGGACTGTAGGGGAATAGGCAGGGCTATTTAGGCCTTACACTTTAAACTGGGTTTGGAAACAAGGAAAACCAAGTCTCCCTCTCTGCTGCCTGCTGGGCCAATGAGAAATTGGCTGGGGGATTTTTTTTTTTAAAGGGTATCACACCAAAACCACAATGTCACTTCCAGTGAATACCTGGAATTGACATCACATTGTTATTGTGATATTGGAGCAACATTCTAGGATTTGGAAAAAACCTCTACAATAGAACCATAGAGCTCTGTCCAAATCCTGGAGTGTCATGCCCGTGCCACACTGGCCACATTACATCACTTCTGGGTATTCGGGGGAAGTGAAATCACAGTGTTGGCATGATGTCATGTCTCCTTCCTCTTCCACTGGAAAAAAAAATGGGCAGCCAGTGGAGATCTTTCAGCATAGGCATGATTTATTTATTTATTTATACTTCCCATATCCAGCCCCTTACATTAATCTGGCCACCCCATTTTAGACCAACCAAAGTTTTCAGACAGTTTTCAAAGGCAGCCCCTTACAAAGCCTACTACAGAAATCTACTGGGATTTGGTCAGCATGTGGATCACCATGACCATGCTTTTTGAGGAATGGCTGTAGCTAGTGTGATACAATGTGTCACAGAAGAAATCCCAAGTTCCAATAATAGGTCAGGAACAAGCAGCTCTTCCCAAACTATGTACCTACTCCTTCACAGGACAGGCTGACTCCACAGTCTTCAACAGCACCTCAGCCTCCTCTGGATTCAGCTTCAGATTTATTGGCCCTCATCCATTCTATACAGACACATGCAGCTACAGGAGCCCTCAGCTGTGATCTGACATTGTACAGCTCCTAATTTACCGTCTCATTGACAACATAGCCTCAGTTGACAAACCTTTGTCAGGTTGTATGTTGCCATCAAGATGTAAACATACCCCAGTAAAGTAAATTCCCAGCGATTGCAACCCACGTTGCAGAAAATCAAAAGAATCTTTTCTAGCATAAAGTGGGAAGTGATAATACATATGAAAGGCACATTCGGGACTTTCAACACATATATTTAGCTTGATGCTTCTACAGGTCACGGTCGGTAGCCGAACTGTTTATTTGAAGTCAGAAGCGGCTCCCTTTCTTGGCTAGTCAAGCCTTACGAAAGCACGCCGAGTCAAATATGCCAAGCAATTCCTATTTGGCCCAAACCAAAACACTTAGCTGGAACCAGCCTCTGTTGCTGTTGCCACCAGTCAAGTGGGGTGTGTGTGTTTCTTGGAGCACGATGTGTTGGGAAGCACAGTGTGTGGGAATGGTACAGCCAAAAGAAAAGAAGGGAAATTGTTTGGGCATAGTTAATGTTCTGGCGAATGCAGCTGTGGAAATCTACCTGCGTTTCGACATCTGTGAGCTTTCTCGTCTGCTCTGCCGTCTGGCTGAGAAGGCTGGTTCCTATCTCCAGCATGGTAGCTGTGTGGTTCTGGACAGCATTCTGCTGTAGCTGAGCCATCTCTGACTTCATGTTTTCCACAATGTAGCTCTCAAGCTATGAAACAGAAAAGATAATAAGAATTGTTTTTAGAAAGAATACGGCATCAGTAAAATTCACACCTAATGGGTGGGTGCCTGAAATCTTGCCTCACACAGCTTTGGGAGAGCTGCTCAGTAAACCCCACGGGAAGAGGTGTCATTCAAACACACTGGCCAGTCATTTGATACCACATGTTGATATAACTCAGGGACATGCTGATGAACATGTGCATTGCTTCAATTAAAATGACTGAACTGGAGTTACGGTTTTTGGCAGTCCCGCCTTGCATAATGGGAAGTATGCTACCCACGATCCTCCTGATACACAGGCTCACCATTTTTATGAATAGGTCAAAGCACATATTTTCCAGCTTCAGAACAGATGGGCCCATACCCACCAAGTAATCTAGACTTGTGATCACATGTACCAAAGCTGTAAAATATACACATTGTACTATTCACACAAAATGGCAATCACACACAGTACCATCTCCTCTTACATACGATTGGATTAGGGCTGCCAAGCCCCCAGTCAGGGTGGGGAAATTACCCCTAATTCCTGGGGAAATTAAAAATTAAAATAAATGAAAAGTAAAAATAAAAAAAATCTCACTGCCATTGGGGAATACCTAAAGGGAACCCTTTAAATGGCTCTTTTTTGCAAGCGAGAGCTCCTTGAGCATGAAATCCAAGTGGCGAATTTGCCATTTTGGAGTCCAGGCACATGGCTCCTGCTTCCTGGGACCAGTGGCCATCCCTCTCCCTCCCCCCTGAGAGATTTAAAGGGCCCTCCAGCTGATTGGCGGGCCACATGCTCCCGCTAATCATCTGGAGGGCCCTTTAAATCTCGCTGGAGTGGGGAGAGAGCAGTAGCCACCATCAACTCTGTTGAAGGTGGGGCTTCTCCCCTCCGGCCAGTTGGCCTGCAGCGGGCAGGAACCCCCACCCTGGCCAGGGGGGTAGCAACCCTACTTCATGAGCTTCAGAGCTGAGAAAGGATTTGAATCCCAGTTTCTCCAGCCCTATTCAAGTCCACTACTGAATCATCAGTTACAAAGCTTTGGAATAAAGGATGCAGATGGGGATCTGGAAGTGATCACCTTATCACAAGGAAGACTTCTATCAAGTGCAGGGCCACCACCAGCTTACCCTCGAATGGGGCAGCTGTTGGGGCACCAGGGCTTCTTGCAGGGCCCACTACTGCTGGCCCTTGCCCTGCTTGCTCCCTTGTGAGTGCTCTGCCACCCATGCTGCCAGCTGCATACACTGCCCAGTGCCACCGGGGAAAGGCCTAGAGGCAGCGCAGATGGCTGTGAGCATAGGCAGTCGGAGGGCTTGCAGTCAAGGCAGGGGAAGGATGAAAAGGCAGGTTGTGAGATGCATGAGTGAGTGGGAGGGAAGGAACTCTCTGCTTGGCCGCCCCCCCCAAAAAAAAAATCTGGATACAGCCCCCATCAAGTTTATACATACACTTTACATAAAACAGAAGTCACATAAAACTGCAGCCTTCTACCCTGTTTCTGGACATCCTACTTCAATAGAGGACCCTTCCATTATCATTGTTGGCTATGCCGTTTTCTCGACAGACAAAGTGGGGAGGGAGCTGTCAATAGAAAGTTACGATCCTTGGTCCTTTCACATGCATGTATGTTTGGGAATTAATCCTGCCCTTCAGGAAGCAGGTTCACTGCAATTTCCCTGGTAAAAATCAATCATCCGGCACTCTTTTACACAACAGCTGATTCAACAAGCTATGTGGTGATGAGCCATATAACAAAATTGGTGGGGGTGAAATGAAGTCCTTCCTTTTTTTCTTAACCTCTAATGGTGCCTCGGGGACTATCAATACCACCACGAATTTTTTACCTTATGCTGGATGGGGGGGGGGGGATTATATATATCTGCAGTGGCAAAGTTGCATCTTTTACAGATCTAGCAGTGCAACTAGACTTCTGAAAAACTAGATGCACAGCGCAACCAGGCAAATAGTGGCAGCACAACAGAAACAGAGCAGTTTGCTTGTAATGCTTAGGAAGGGGAATGACATTCCTTTGCCACAAATAGGATGAGATGCTGACCTCTCTACTGCCCAGTACTTGGTTCATTTGCTTGACTAATGTGCATGTCAGCTCTGGGAAAGACAGTATAACACAGACACTTGTTTATAAAACCTCTCAGAAGATTCCTGTGACAATAAAAGAGAGAGAGAGATCGTACAGTACATTTCACACTGGCCTGTTCAAATGATCCTTATCATTTGCTACCAGTTCTTCATGTTGGATGAATTTTTAGAAATAATATATCTGCAGTAACCATGCTACTTTTACACATTAGTAGTTTTGGACAACTTAGAGCTAAAACACACAAAGGTTTCTGATTCTGGTAGGGCTACTGAATCCAGTTTGGAAACCAAGTCCATTCCACTTTTGCAGGCTATATAGAGCTGCCCAGGTTGGGCAATTCCTGGAGATTTAGGGGGTGGAGCCTGGGGAGGGAGGGGAGGGACTTCAGCAGGGCATAATGCCATAGAAGCCACCATCCAAAGCAGCCATTTTCATAAGATGTGTTTTTTCAGGCTTCAAAGTCCTGCTCAAGCTGTTTGAATGCAACTGAGACCGTTGTGTATCATGTGAGTCAGACTACACGATTTCGGGTTCAACGAAATCAAGGGACAACTGTGAAATTCTCATTCGCCAAATGTTCACCATAGAGAGGAAAGCAGGCAAAGATACCATCCCATGGCTGCCCATCACGCTGGCCCCAGACCACTTCCCAATGGGGAGAGGTGGAAAAAAATCCTGCTGAGATGTCAGGCCCAGAGTCTGATAAAGCTGCCATTTCTGGGGGTCCTCCCACGTTCTCCATGGATAACTCCAGGGCTCTTTTTGTAGAAAAAGCCCAGCCGGAACTCATTAGCATATTGGGCCACACCCCTGACAGCACAGCTCATTGGCACATTAGGCTGCACCCCCATGTTACCAGAAGTGTGGTTATCCAGCCACACCCACCTTTTGCTTCTTATTCTGTTTACCTTGTTTGTTGTCAAAACCCAGGGCCTTTTTTTGTAGCAGGAACCCCTTGCATGTTAGGCCACACACCCCTAATGTAGCCAATCCTAATGAGTTTCTGCTGTTGGGTGTGGCCTATTATGCTAATGAGTTCCTGCTGGGCGTGGCCAACTCGGGAGCCAGCCAGAACTCCGTTCCTGTGCGTTCCTGCCCAAAAATAGCCCTGGATAGCTCTATTTCCAGACTCTGTTTTTCTCCACAATTCTGTGGTCTATACTTTACTGTGATTCCTAATGCCCAGTGAGGATCATGTATGAAAATTACAATTGTAGATAGGATGATATAGAACCATAGGATGGCATAGAAACAGAAACATATAAATAAAACCTCAAACACTGTAAGACTTTTAAAAAATCTGCTCTGGACTTTAACAGCTAGGATTCAGCAATCTGAGGACACTTTCCGTTCATGTTATGTTCAATGTTAAGGTAAAGGTTCCTTTCCTTTCCATCATGCATAAGGTAAAGGTAAAGGTTCCCTTGCTCGAAAGCCAGTCGAATCCGACTCTAGGGTTGCAGTGCTCATCTCCATTTCAAAGCCGAAGAGCCAGCGCTGTCCAAAGATGTCTCCATGGTCATGTGGCCGGCATGACTAAACACCAAGGCACACGGAACGCTGTTACCTTCCCACCAAAGTGGTACCTATTTATCTACTTGCAATTTCTTGCTTTCAAACTGCTAGGTTGGCAGGAGCTGGAACTAGAGACGGGAGCTCACTCCATCATACGGCACACTCGGGTCTCGAACTGCTGAACTACCGACCTTCCACAGCCTGCTGTTCAGCATCTTAACCACTTGAGCCACCGCAGCTTCCTTTGTTGAATGTTAGCAATGCCTTAATTCTAGCACAAAAAATGCTGCTGTGAAGGGTGTAAGGGGATCTGTGAAAACCCCTTAGGATTCTTCAGCAAATTTTCTACACTGAGTTGTAGCCCTGTTGCCCTGAATGGCTGTTGTCAAAACACCATTGTTCCCTGCTAGAAATAGGGCTGCCAGCCTCCAGGTGGGTGCAAACCACAAAGAGAGATCACGGGAAGGAAGGTAGAAATGAGCAAAAACAACCGTGATATATTATGCGAAAAGAACAATATGCAGGCTTATAAGTTTTTATCCACTATTCAGTTTACTATAGAAAGTCAATATTCTCAGAAATCATTCATAATGACGCCATCAACACCAACGCCATCAACCATGCATATCAAGTCTCATTTCGTTCACAACTTTTTCAGCGTGTGTAGCGTTGAAATTTCAATATAATTAATTCATTTAGAAAGCACTATGGCCAAATCTCTTAGAATCATTCACCAATTCAAATGAATGATTCTAAGAGATTTGGCCATAGTGCTTTCAGCTGCAGGAAACTGCATGTGTGCTGAGATCTGCACAAACATTTGGACATAAGTATTCTAACTATGCCTACTCCACAATGTAAAGGCTGGGAGAACTCTGGAAACCTCTGCTCCTCATGCTTGACATATAAACAGATGGGGTTTTATTTATTTATTTATCTTTAAATTTATACCCCGCCCTCCCCGAAGGCTCAGGGCGGCTCACAAGGGGCACGAATGCCCAAGTTAAAACATTAAAACAGTACAGAATAATATAAAATACAATAAGTACAATTTCACTAAAATTTACTTTACGGTGCTCCAAAATTATTTAACTATAAGTTCAAGATGGGATTCTAAAATTATTAGCAACAAGCCACAGTAGTAACAATAAATATAGCAGCAACAATATACGTCCATACAGCGTTGACCTCTGCCAGACACGTCTCGCACCTCCAATAGTTCCTGCTCTGAAGATGGTCAATTTGCGGGACTAATGAGGGGGGCGTAGATAGAAAGATGGTGACGATGGTGACATAATGATGATGGCTTAATGATGGTGGTGGCGGCGGCTCCTACTCGAAAGTCTGGCGGAAGAGCTCCATTGATGAACTATAAAAC